TTGGAGAAAAAATAGTGAAAGGTATATTCTGTTATAAGATATCCTGTTTTTCGCAATTGCTATTTATGTTGCAATGTTTAATTTAAGATTTGAATGCCAGAAAATAATTGTGGATCCTGTACTGACGCCGAATACTTTCATTAATACTTTATAGGGTAGATTCCACAATGGAAGGACATCGATTAAGCATTGCAAAAGTATATAATTAAGGCCGTTTTTCGAAGGTTTTTCAAAATTTTGTTTCTTTGCGAATAATATGCTATTTTTATAACTGTGTGTTTGCAACTGTTACTCATGACTATTAGCTCATGTTTAGCCTATCTAAAGCCAGCACTGCTATGATTATTTTGAAAATGGCGCAAAACGTAAATATTAAGAAAAGTCTGTGAAAATGAATGGTGTTTGTAATCTTTTTTTTTTAAATATTCAGAAACTTTCTTCTATGTTGCCTTACTTGGGCTCATAAAATTTAACAAAAACTGAGAATAAGTCAGTCATTTTGATAATTCTCAGGCTTTATTTATTGTTTTATTAAAATTACATAAATTTGCAGGCTTGTATGCTCAATTTAGGCATATAAACCCTTCTTTAAAATAAACTTCGCACAGAATACATTCAGGTTTACAGCGAGATTCGAAAGTGCCACCTCCACACTTCTCACAGCGCTTGACCAACGCCTCCTATAACTGAAAGCCTCCAAACGGTTTCTTATAGGTAGTCCGATGAGACCACACTGAAGGTAAACTAGTTTACGAAAGAACCACTTAATAGAATATCTAGTAAAAATAAGAAAGTTGATAACTTTCTCTCGATTACTTTTAAAATAGAATTTGGTTTCATGCGTATCACTGATTCACTTTTTAAACAGTCTGGGCAGACTGCTTGTAAAAAAACCGTGTGGAGGCTTTCTGACGTAGGAGGTGATGGTTTGGTCATCACCTCCTACATCAGAAAGCTTCCACGCGGTCTTTCATAAGTAGTCCGTGCAGACTATTTAAAAAGTGAACCAGCTGTGCGCATGAACCCGAAACCTTTTGTAAAAGCAATTGAAAGAAATTCATCTTATAAATTTGAGAATTGAATCTATAGCAGTTGACAAGTGAATAAGGCAAACCAATAAAATTCATAAATAAAAAAAATTTTTAGTCATATATTTGCTACCACTTTCCTATTTTAACTAGATTTTGTATTATGTGACTCGTTCGGAAAGTGGATATCCTTCACAATGGTCTGATCGGACTACCTATAAAAAACCGTGTGGAGGCTTTCAGTTGTAGGAGGTCTTGGCTTGGCGCGCGATACTGCTTCGGTAGGGAAGTCCCATTTTTTTGAGGAAAAAAGCAATTTTATATATAAGCAGGACTGCTAACTTTCTACGATTTTTGTAAAAAATTATTATAATGGTAGCTATGTTAATGTTTCAATGCATTATTTTTTATTCATTTAAACTTATTTTACACATCACTACACATAAATGATTTAAAAATTCTTATAGACAACGCCACTTATTTCAGGAATATTCTTGGAGAAGCTTCTTAAAAGTTGGTAAAATTACCAAAATTTTGGAAAGATTTGGTTTGTAAGTGTCTATTATTTTATAAAATATTTTGCAAAAAGCGTAGTAGCTGGCATATCTGCATACGTTATAATTGATAAAAAGAATCTCGGGAGCTACAGTAATTTAATGTTTCTCAAAAAAAAAAAAAAATTCTAAAAGGAAATGCCTTTCAAACCAGTTTTTACTCTGTTCCGTCTTGGTATAAATAGGCATTCAACCCTGGCCCTTTTAAGTACTCTCATTTTTCAGTCTGGCAAAAGGTTCTTTCATGAAGGAAGTTGAGTTTTGGATGCTGGATATGCGTGAAATCTCGGCATTAAGCGCCAAGCGCTTCTAACCGATTCGTCGATTCTGTTGAGACCCAAAACTGAAAGGTCATATGTGATTCAAAGTTCTAAGCTTGAAGTTCAGATTAAAATTCCTTAATGAGGTAAGGCATGAGTTGCAGGCAGTAGAACATCAATTGGAAGGGGTATTCCCCTTGATTAAAGTCGTGAACAGGTTTAGCACTTTTTGATCTTTCATCAATTCTTGAAGTTCTTTGATGAAGCTAACAAGTCGATGAGCACTGAAAGTTGGGGTGGTATCCCTGTTCGATGATCTCCTTTTACTGGGGCGAGCCTCGCGCCCAGTAAAGTTAGCAGTGTGATCCTTCAGGCAGTTGCAGCACTTGGCCGGGGTATCTCTGGGCTTTTTGCATTGGTACGAAAAGTGCCCTTCGGCACACTTCATACATCTAGCATCTTTTGTGCAGCTACGTTGAGAATGTCCAAAGCCCTGGCATCTGAAACACTGAATTGGTCTCCTTCCACCTCGGTACTTCTCTACGGCGATCGGGAACTGCTTTAAACTTTCGATGTTGTAGATCTTGGTCTGATTGGCCAATAGAGGAATGACAACAAGGTAGAGGGGGGGTGGCGTATAGGCTCCTCCCACTTTCTTCTTGAACTGGACTACTTTGGAAACTTCAATGTTTGATTTTCCTCATTCAAGGGAGATTTCGTCGATATTAAAATCATCTGGGAGTCCTCGAATGAGCACTTTTTCATTCTTGGCTGGAAGGACTTTTTTAGCAGCAGTTGGAGTCACTTAAGCTTGGGTGGGTGTCTCCTCCTAGGTCACAGATGTTTTTTTCCGGCTGTGGTGGGAAATTGCGGCAGAAGTGCTGTTATTAGGCTTGGTTGATATGGCTTTCTTCCTTTTCCTGTTCTTCCTCTTTTTAGCAGGAGGTTCTTTGAAATTTTGAGAATCTTAGGCCGTAGCCCGAAACTGGTCTCCATTTTTCCCCCGCAGGGGTGGAGGTGATCTCGAGTGTTGGAGTGGTAATCACTGGTACTGGATTGATATTCTCGGGTACTGAAGTGAAAGTCTCTGGTACAGGAGTGATAGTCGAGTGGTAGTTTCATGAATTGGCTCCGGCTCCTCTTTTTTCTTCTGTGTTGAGGCTGCATTTTTCTGTTGTTCTCTCATATTTTTGCAGACTATGGTAATATTATAATGAAGTCTTTGAAAATAGTCGTAAATCTGTCCAAATTCACATGTATTAAGAAATACACTGAGCAATATCCTTGCAGATTTTAGTTCATTTGTAGGGAAAAAAAGAGTAGAACTCTACTAAGTCAATAGAAAGACCAGATGGTAGGAATTTCAGCGGAACATTACTGGCTGCAATATCTTCTTGAAATGTATCGTATTCAATAACATCCACGTAATCTCCATCCGATTCTACTGGGTCAGGGGTTTTCGGGCGGCTGGGTGGTTGCACCTTTCCGCCTCGAGCTGTTCTGTTGTATGACAAAGCTACGGAGCTGAGTAAAAACATGTCTTGTCTCGAGCAAGGCTTGAGCTGAGCCATCACCTCCTACATTAGAAAGCCTCAAAACGGTCTTCTATAAGTAGTTTGCGCAGACTATTTAAAAAGTGATCCAGTTGTGCGCAGGAACCCAAAACCTTTTATTAAAGTAATGGAGAGAAATTTATCATATATATTTAAAAATTGAATCTGTAGTGGTTGACAAGTGAATGAGGTATACCAATAACATTCATAAACTAAACAAATTATTTCTGCATATATTTGCTACCACTTTTTTATTTTAACTAGATTTTGTATTAAATGACTCGTTCGACGAGTAGACTACCCATTCCTCCCAACTCTTCCAGAATTTCTAAAAGATTTTATTTTCAATATTAAAGTGGTAATAAATATATACTATTTTTTTCTTTTATAAATTTAATTTTTAAATGATTTTGATCACCACTATTCTTACAAAAATTACGCACATATATCAATATGCGTTACTATCATGGTTGTCAACTTAAGTTTTCTCAAATACAACGTATTTGTTTGCTTAAAATTGAAGTTTTAATTCCATTTTAATACCACTGGGAAAAATTATAATGGAAAGGATTAAAAGTTGGCAGGTATGACTACCTATGAAAAACCGTGTGGAGGCTTTGGCTGAGCTCCTTTCCCTTCTCCTAAGCTGAGTTTGCATGGTTGAAAGCCCTTATATAGCAATATAGCAAGGTGAAAAAGAGAAAAAACTAGTACGTAAGACATTTCATTCCAGCATCTTTTTCGAAAAAAAATAAAATATCTGTAACTATCAAGATTTTTTTAATAATTTTAGCATATATATAAAACTACTTCTTTTCCAAGAAAAAATAGATGTTGTTGAATAGTTTAACACGTTCACGCTGGGTTGACTCACCGGTGGGTCACTTAGATTGTCTCATCTTGGCAGCGGAGTAAAAACTGGTAACAATAAATTTCATTTTTTGGTTTTTTTCCGGGAATAATAAAAAATCATAACTACCAATTGTTTTTAACGGATGCAATTTTTATATTGAATTGCTTCTTCGCCGTGGTAAATTTACTCACAGTGAATAGTTATTGTTGAGAATAGATTAACTCCTCCCGAATATTATCTAATATTGAAATAGTTCTTCTACCAGTATTTTCACTTTTCCCGGCTTGAACGTGTTAAACAAAGAATAAGTAAACTCCTCCCAAAAACTAGCTAAAATTGAAAGGGCTTTACTACCACCCTTTCCTCTTTTCCGTCTCGCTTTCACCCCTGTGAGTTTTGTCCTTTTACTAAATAGTAATTATATTCTAGCATTAAGGGATACAACATATATGGCTCAAAAGAGTATGCGTATTCAAACTCGTAACGAAAGTATCAGACAGAACTAAGCGGTAAATATGATATATAAATTTTTAGGTAAATACTCAACGACTTTTTCCTATAAAGGCACCTTTTGAATGATGGGGCGTATTCTTCCGCGGGCAGATTTTCCGATAGACCTAATATCATCAAATTCTTAATATTTTTTTGCAGATATGAATAATTCTACAACTTTGAAAATACTCCCCAAACTATGCTTTTTTTTTAACTGTACCAGATGTGAATGGAATGTAAGAGTAAAATTTTATTTTTAGGAACGATTTATGGTATAGCAAACACAATTGCTAGCTTATCTGGCTTTATAGCACCTATAGTTGTGGGAGTGTTTCTAGAAAGTGGTGTAAGTATTCTAATATTTTGTTAGTTTAGCTTCAGTTGTTAGTAAATGGTGCTTTCTATACTAGGAAGCACTGCAAGCTCTTGACTGTCTATACTTCCGAATTATTGTTTTTGGTATGTTTTGAAGCCATTTGTCTCACAACGTGATCATTGCGTTTTGAGATTCTCCTAAGTAGTATTTCTTGTTTTTCTTTACTTGATTTATCATTTGTGTTTAAAAGAAGAAGCATGCTTGCATGTTTTTTATTTCAGGGTATAAGACAAAGGACTATTAGCCCGATTTCTAATAAATTTATAATAAAATGCTTCCCGTATCAATTTTTTTTTTCTTAACCTGATTATACTCACTTTGAAAATAACACTTATCTGCTTCATTCACTCAGCATTTTTTATATAAAATACTAATTGAGACGCAATAAAATCCACCATTCTTTAACTTAGCTGAGCTAAATTTACATTAAAAGTTAGGTCATTCTAACATTGCATTCAGTTATTTATAAGAAATTATTTTGCTTTTATTATTGTCTAACTATTCTGTGCTAGTGACTGATTTACTTCATTTTGCCTTTCAGTCGACGATGGCAAATTGGAGTAAAGTTTTCTACACTACAGTGGCTATTTATTTCATATTTGCCACAACGTTTATCATTTTTGCATCTGGTGACTTGCAACCATGGAATTCTGCCAGAGTTGAATCAAAGAAAGACTGTAATGTGGAAAATACCATGTGCGTAAAGAGTGGAGATAGCAATCTAAAGACGCCGTCTGAAACATTTAAATGTTGACATTGAAGCTATATACTTGCACAAACATTTCAGTTAAGAGAGCAGGAATAATTCAGAAAGGAAAAAAACGATTTGTATGAAAGTCAGTCATATTGAAAAAAATCTTGAAATATGGATTTACAGGGAATTCGGCATCATTGGAATTTGGCATCAAAAATGGAATCATTGAAACACTCGCCAGTTTGAAACAGAATTTCTGACAAAAATGATATTACTCGAATCTAAGTTAACTTACTTTATAAATGAATGGTCTAATGTCTTTGTTAATGGTCTTTTACCCATAATGGTAACTACTTCCTGTGCTAATGATTCTCAGTGCCAATCAGGGGTCTCCTTGACCATGTGATATCACCGTGTGCAAACTCTGTGGAAACCTCGGAAGTCGCGGGTTCGAATCCCTCTGTTACCCAAGATGCATCTTCATGCTATTTTTCTCTGTATTGTGCTATCTGTCTTTCTGTTTGACAGATTCTTGTAAGCCTGAATTGAGAAAAAAAACCTGCAAATATATGTAATTCCAATAAACCAATAAAGAATCCGATAATCTTTAATCAACTTAAAGCAATTATTTTTTCAGTGATGCTACTTTCTCCAGACAGTGGATAAATATTTTCGAATGTCTGTCTTTTAATGTATGATTCTTATTTCAATAATTTTGATTTATGAAGTTTTTACTCCTCCCTACTTCATAAGAATTCAAAGCCTTATGCATTAAGCCACTTTGTTACATTTAAGCCGTGTTGAGCGCTTTAAAATTTTAGCAAAATTAACCGAAGATCTGCCAATTTTTGCTTATATTTCCCTACCGTTATTTAAGATATTTTGTCGAATCGAATCCGGAAAGGTTGGCATCTCTGTTTAGAAGCAGGAGAAAGACTAGTTTCATGGGAAATATTTTACAAAGCAGACGACAATCAAAAACTAAAGCCTTCTGAATTTTGGTTAATTTTGCTAACAATTTAAAAGCCTCTACCAGGTTTGTCAGACGGAGAAATCAAGACAAACTACAACTGTTTCTGTGAAAATTCTGCGAGATTACCGATATACTTCATTTTACTTCGCCACCTA